ATTTTCTGGTTTCGTTTCGTTCTAGCCAGCAGCGGCGCTGAGGTCCAGAAGAATCGACTGGACCAAAGGCCCTGAAACCCAGCCGTAGCCTGCCATCTAGTGGCAGAATTGAGGGGTGTCTTTAACGTTCCAGCAGAAAGATTTCTTGTAACTGAGAAAGTGTTACGAAACCCAAAAAGCATGAGACTGTTTTAAAAAAAAACAAAAAAAAAAACAGAAGAACAGAAGCTTTGAACTTTTTTTGTGAATTGCTGGAATTGTGCCAGAATATTGTACAACATAGAAAATACTATAAAAGGCACCACAGCCTGTTTCCTTCTGCTGCAGTCTCACTTCAGTGCTATTGATTTAATGTTATAACAAATGTCTATTAATATTGTGTGGCAAAATTATTTTAGTATGTTTTTTAAAACAATATTAAAATAATTAATATGTAATATTGCTAGTAAATTTTATTTAATGACCATTCATTTCAATATGCTTCATGGAGCTTCATGTCATCATGTTAATAGACAAGAATGACACCACAACAGAGTGGTAATTTTGCTCACTGACATCATGACTGATAGATTTCATGCCATCCTTTGCCTACATGTGACTGTTTCTATCTAGTGACATCATAATTACAAATTTTATTATCAGCCCTTTAAGTAAAACAGAAATCTCTTAACTATAATCCCCCCTCAGTCTTTACACACACATACATGTGTGTTCTGCCATGATGCATATGTAATACATTTAGACTTGCTTAAAAATGTGAACCACAGTTTAGAAACCACTGTGTGTAATTGTAATGTAACTGCAGTACCGTGAAGTGACAGCAGGGGGAGGTGGTGCCCAAAAGAGCTATAGATACAGTCACCTGGATTAAAGGCATGGTGGAGACAGCAGCAGACTGAAGGCACTGCTTAGTCCAGCATCATTGATTTGCGTGACTTTGCCCTCATTAACCCTAATGTCGGGTTGTGGTTGCTCAACCAAACATCTCATGCATGCTCACCTCTGAGGTGCCCTTTTAGTGGTGGCCATATCTGCTTTGCATGGTTTTTCCGTTGCCTTCAGCTGCTAACAAACAAATCACAGAGGGAAAAGACAAATAGTGGCTCCTTTGAAGGGGTCTCTTAAACAACAGCCCCTCATCTATCTCTCTCTCTCTCTCTCTCTCTCTCTCTCTCTCGTTAAAACTGCTAATCAGTGTAATTAATAAGTTGACATCAATGTAAAGGAATGAAAGAGCATAAGAAACTGTAGTAGCCCTTAAATAATGTTTTAATATGACAGTTTTCTATATTTTCAATGGTAAAAATGATGAAAAGTACTGATTAAATGTATTAGGAACAGTAAAGGTAAAGGATGAGTTTAAATATTCTGGTTTATTATAAGGGTCTGCCTGAGGTAGTGAGTGGCAGGCACTGTGTGTGTGTGTGCTGTAACGTAAGGTCTCTGAGGATTGGCTGAAATGAGTCTGTGTGTGTGGACAGACGCTCTTTTGTCCCACTGCTATCCCAGCACGTCTTTGTGAGCACAAAGGCTGCCCAGTGCTGGCATCTGTGGTGCTGCGTGGCTGCAGAGATTGGACAGGGGGCACTGTGTGCTCCTACGCACCACATATATGCTGGTTTATTCTTATACTTCATGGCGTCATACATATGTCTCTTGTGCATTTTGTCAGCATCAGGAAACATTTATTTTAAAGGAAATTACACAGAAGCTTTCACACCAGTTTTTCTGTTTTCACTGTGTCCACTCTTTCGCCCTTATTACAGCTTCCATTCTTTACATTTTTCCATATATTCAAAGTTCAGTCTTCGAAGTTGGTTACATTTTTCTCCTTCTTGTAATCTAAATAATCCCAGGCACATTCAGTGATGTTAAGATCTAAACTCTGGGGTGGCCAGTCTGTTGTTGTGAGAACACCAGGAGCTTCTTTGTTTGATTTCCTTTTCTCAGTAAGGGCTTCTTTACAGCAGGGCTGAGCTAAGCTCTTAAGGCTTCAGCACACTTCTTGCAGAGTCAACGTTCGCCTGACTTCAGCAAACAATAAGATGTAATTGCAGAGAGAAACGCAGACGTCGCGTGAAGGCTTCGCTCGGCATGTCGCGCACATGGCAGCTGGGCGAACTCTGTGGACCAAGACGCTACTCGACACAGTCTCTGTATGGTCGGTAAGAAGAGGCGTGCCATTAAGCAAGGATGGATGACTTTGAGGAGCTTTGGCTTTGGCAGACACACTGATATTTCACCGTGAAACGTGCATTTGTTAAATAATCAATGAATGCTTCCTAAATGTAAGATGTTAAGTCTGTCATTCGGTAGTATTAACTAGTACTAAGCACCAAAACATATAGGTTATCTTATATTTAGGTTCACAAGAGGATGAGGCTGAAGTTGGCTTTGTATTCGCCATCTTCTTTTTCGAATTCCCCGTTCCACCTTAAATGGTGACGGCATTCTGAACTCAAACGTTGCCGTAGTTAGAATTGTGAAAGAATAGTTTACAGCAGTCATGAAACTTATCATAAATTGTCATAGCATCACGTGGAGCATCCGCGACAGGCAACACAAAGCCGTCGAAAGTATGCAAGCTTGTAAGCTCACGAAGGCGCCTTTGGCTTCACGCAACCCTTGAGAATTTCGTTTTCGCAAGAAATATGCTGAGGCCTTTAGTGAAAGGATGGACAGAAGCACCTGTGGATTGTTTCAGTGCTGAAGCAGGAGTGGAGCATGATTTTCTCCTCTCTCTTAAAGATGAAAGCTTCAGGTGCTGTTTATCTGAGGTGGACAGTTTTGGTGTCTACCAGGTCTTGCATGGTTGTTAGGAGCCTCATTTTCTCTGTAGTTTTTAATAATTTTTTGATCTCCAGTTTCGGAAATTCCTGATTTTACCCCAATCTCCTTTGACATCCCCTTCCTCATGCGAGTATTTTACATCTAAACTGTACTCTGTTGAATTTTGACCGGAGATTAAATCAAGTGGATAATTATTTGTGTATGTATGTGTATATGTAAGGAGAATTATCTAAGCCTAAACCTAAGCCGAACCTGAACCTCAGGACCCAAGAAGAAAGATTTTGTCCTTTCACAACTGAAACTATGGAAATTCACACAGTGTCTTGCTTATTTGAGTCGCCCCTTATAGCCCACCTGAACAGGCCTCTCATAGATGTTTGTATGAGTCTGTGAGTGGTGCCTGTTTTCTGTGTTTGTTTGTTTGTGTCTTTTTTTGTAAACTCTGTATATTTTCCTCTAGTGAGCTGAATGTTTTTAAGAAGTCTGTCTTTGGCCTGTGTTATCTTAGGTCTGCCACAGTTCAGTAGAGTTCTCTGTGCATAGACCACAGACGCACAGTGAGGCACTGAAACCCGAGCATTCAGAGAGAGATTTGCCGTTTCTGAGACGCTGTTTGTTTCTGCATCTTGTATCCAGCGTAATTCCATTTAATCACTCTCACTCGCTTGCTGGATAACAAGAGGGTTTACTGACTGTAGTCCCCTGTTTATAGAGTACGTTAGGGTTAAAGCCCATGTGATATATTGGTGAGACTGACACTGGTTGATATTGTACAACCTCTGATGAGAGGGAAGTTGTTCACTTCTGAGAATTTAGAGGTTTTATGCTTATGTGATAGTCTTTATAGGGCTTGAACATTTTGTGACTGATAACGATTTTAAGGGGACAAAAATTTTGAGAACAGATAATGGTTGATAAACTTTTGTATTTTACGCTCAGTTTTAGTTGAACAGTGCTTGACTGACTGATATGACTTAAAAGTTTCCAAATATTTGCTCCTCAGACCGTATATAACAACAAAGCTGCCAAAAGAGCCCATTTTGAATGTACTGGTTTTTAGCCATGTTTTATGTTCAAATTCACCCATTTAGCCTCTATTACTCTATTCATATAGTTGAACAGGGAGTGCCTCACATTTAAATTTGACTGTGCAGTGGCCAAAAAAAAACTATAGATATTATCAATAGAACTGTGTGTTGAAAATGCTATTACCAGCTATAGGCCTGTCACAATTATTACATAATCACAGTTTTTAAATGAATAAACGATGCAGTTATTTGAGATGATCGCAATCATTTAAGCGGACTGCAATAAAAGTTGTTAGATTCACTCAAAAAATTTAGCTTTGCTCGACTTTACACTCGATTCTCTGTAAATGTGCACACTTAAAGATGGTTCAGAGGTTCCTTAGTAAAGGTAATGGTTATATTTAGAACCATATTTGAAAATGGTTCTATATATCACCAAAAAAGCTTCTTCTATTGTTAAAAGCTTGACATTGTTACAATAGCAGAACCCTTTTCGATGCTATATAGAACCATTTTTAAAAAGGTTCTTGAAAGAACCATATACAATACATTCTCCATTAATCTGAAGAACCATCTTTTTTAAGTGTGTAGACAACAGTGTAATGTATTATATGTACAAATACTATCAGTATTATCTACTAAGCAAAAACTGCTGGGAAGCAAGATGGCTAATCAGCCTGTTTGGCTACTTAAGGCTTGTACTTCAAGAAAAGACAATTAAATGGTTAATCACAATTATTTATGTCACAAATTATCATCAGCTAAAAGACTGTGACAGTCCTAATCAGCTAATCAATATAACACTAACTGCTAACTCATAACTATTTTTGCAATGTTTGCTAAACTGATGAATTTGCATTCAAAACATCATAATGGTTAAAATAACAAAAATAAGTTTAAAGAACCCAGAAAATTTATAAAAATTCAGACATTGTGAATTTTTCCCATTTAGGAAATGTGACAATCATACCAGTCACTACATACCTATTTAACTGAAACTGTCTGATTAATGTTTGACTGTAATAAATTATCAGCCATTATATGAACCGATATTATTGTTTATTGGAGTTTTTAAGCTGCTTAAAATCGGTCACACAGTTTTCACATGAGCAAGGTCTAGTCTTATGTATGTGATGTATGCAGATGAATAGACACTGATTTGTGTTTTCTGTTTCCCTGCAGGACCTGGAGATTGTATATTCGTATCTCCACGGCATGGAGGCACTGTCGAATCTAAGGGAACATCAGCTAAGGTAATGAGTGTGTGGGATGGAGGGATACAGTTTCATATGTGTGGGACGAAAGTTTGCATGTTTAAATGCATACATATATGCTGACATTGATGGATGGACCACCTTGGTGCTTGGGTGGGATGTGTATAACACAGATTTGAAATGAAATGTTTCTCTTACGTTTTCGATGCATTTGAAATGGGTCAGCAGCAGGAGGTTTCTAACACACCAGCATCAGATCAGAGGTTGATCTGCACTGCATTTATTCAGCAGTGTGTCATGCTTTATTCGCAGCAACAGTGATAAAGCCAGAGTGCTGTCAGTGTCTTCTCCAACTATTTTTCATGAAATGTTGATAGCAATCTCTTCAAACTCGACTTTCGTGGCATCACTCATTTCCTCAGTCTAATTGTTCTGTTTCAGACATGCTCTGTTTGTAAAAGCAAAATTGTTGCTGTGCAAAAGTCTTAGTCATCTGAGAAAATTATATGTGTAAAGTACAAAAGTACTGGTGCTGGATTGGATCAACTGTTTAAACATTTCTCTTTTGTTGGGAGATTACAAGTTCGATCCCCGACACTGCCACAGCCACCCAGCATAACTGGCCCTCCCTTCCTCTATTACTTAGCATATTTTAAAATATTACACATCTATCTTTCATTTCTTCTTAGTAGAAAAATGTGAACCAGTGTAAATTACCCCAAAGAAAAAAATACAACAAGACAATTGCAAATACTTGCATTTAAAAATCTTAGGCCAGCCAAGAAAATAGTTTAGAATGGTTTATCTGGGCCGTACTTTTCTTTTGGCTTGTCAAAACACAATATAACTGTATAATAAATGCAAATAGACACAGTAAAATATAGACGTTCTTGTTAAATTATGAATGATTTCATCTATCATGAAGGTTTGGTGAGCTGAATGAGGTATTGGATATTGGGCTTCCTTGAGGGATTCATAATGTAGTGTGTTTATATTGGTGTTTTCAGGGTTTCCACAGATCTTCCAAAGTCTTAGAGAGTCTTAATATAGAATTTAAGGTCTTATTTTTATCGTATTAGAGGTATTCAGTTATAAGATGATGCCAGGGGCCGTATTAAAGAAATCTTATCTGCTTAGTCACAACTTTAGTTAGGACTAAATTTAGAACAGAAGACAGAACAACAGTTCTTAAGTTCATAATCTTATCCATTAACTCCAGATAAGAGAATAGTATTACAGAAACATCCTGACTAGACAGAATTTCTTAACTTTAAAATAACCTCAGAGGGTCTTAACTTCTGTTTTAGAAACCATCTGTTTCTATTGTTTTATGCAGTTTTAGGCAACATAGTTCAGTATAACCAGCATAATGACGCTACATTTATCTACACTGAAAACGGTGCTTTGACTTATGGATTTATTTTCTAACAGTGTTTTAAAAACCCCAGACACTGCAGACACAATCTTCACCGCCCCTCTTATTACCTTCATGTGTTATTGTTGGTCATAAAATATTACAGTGATGGTGGTGAATAATAAGGAGGCCGAGCTGAATGTGTGTCTGTTCGTTAGGAGAAATAACGTTAGCTCGCTTGGCTAAAGTGTGTGGGAAATGAAACTGAAACTGAAATTAACTGCACAAAGCGCTGACACAATATTCTTAAATTTCAGTTTATAGCGCTTTACTTTGTTTGACCTTTTTTGTACATCGGTAACGGTAGCTAATGTCAGCTGCCTGGCTAACTAGCTTGATTACTTTGATTACATGTTTATGGTTCAGCTGTGCACATATGATTGGTTGCTAGGTAATGATAGTTGATTATTCTGATTTCTTTAAAAGATGAAACGTAAATGATTTTGAGGTAAGATCCTGTAAGATAAGATTCCTAAATCAAGATAAGATCTTCTTTAAAACGAATTTGTGAAAAATCTTATCTTGACCTGTCAGACCTTAAGTTAAGACAAAAAGATAGGACGTTTCTGTAATACGGCCCCTGAAGATCAGGTTGAAGTGAGTCATTCTATATTAAACTAATCCAGACTAAATATGTATAGCCAACAGTGGTCGTGTAGTCAGAAACTTAACCACTGTTTGAATAATTTGATATTGATACATGCCATTTCAAAGTTTGTGTGCATCACTGTGGAGTGGAAATGGTATTATTTTTCCTTTTTGAGGTTTTAAAAAAGCATTAAAAACCATAAACAATATAGTGTGTTGTGTTGACATTCTCAGATTCCTCCAGTCTCACTGTTGACCAGACTTTAGTGACCTTTAGTGAACTCTGTTGACCCTTCAGAAGTGGTTCTCAGGTCATAGTGTGTACACACTTGTGGATTACACTGAGGGAATAATACTCAACCACATGACCTGGGTGTTCCAGAACATTCCGGACCCTGAGCCCTGCGTGGCCCCTTGTGGCCTGCGGGCAACCTCAGGAATGCTGTCGCAGGGTCTGATGTGACCTCCTACCAGCAGGGCTTCTTTTCTTCTTCATTTTGACTTTATTGCATGGTTTGAAATGTGTTGGTGTTGTGTGGTTAGTTTTAATTGTGTGGAGTGTTTTAGTGAGGAGACAGGGCTAACATTAGCGTACACTGAGCATAAACAGATTTTGTGTGTATCTTACCTTAGATGCGAAAGGCCAATTTGGGGGTTTTGGCAGATCTTAACACAATATACAGGGTGATTCAAAAATCATCTGATTTCAAAATTATTTATTTCACTTGTAAATCATTACAGAACAATGCAGTAAATTGTAAATGGTTTAAATGAGCATAAAATTTATTATGTAATTTTACAAGTGCTCAGTATGAACCTCCTCCACCTGTACGGACAACATCAACGCCATAGTCAGATTCATCCCATACTCGATTGAGCATGTTGGGTGGTACTGTACTCACGGCTCTTTCAATGCGATTTCGGAGATTATCCAGTGTTGTGGAACCAACGACGAACGCTCTGAGCTGTTGGAGGTTCACTGCCGACAAAAATCACGTTGCACAGTTATGGCGGATTCGCTCTTATTGAAGTGGAGAATGCAGAACGCTTTCTGCTCAGGGGTCTCCATCTTCTCGCAGACTGAAGGGAGCCATCTCCCGGTGACAGTCCGAAACTCTATGACCCCCTCTTTCAATTGGTATGTGATTGGTTCCTAGGCGACTCGCGGTTGTAAAATATGGCGCTTTGAAATCGGATGAACCTTTTTTGAATCACCCTGTGCTTAATGCATTCTGTATTGATAAGTAGGGATGTCCGTGAGTTTTATGCACTCTGATCTGATCCATCTGCCGTGACGTAAAGGAGATAAATTTTGTTCAGAAGAGGCTGATATTAGCAGGACAAAAGACTGCTGAAAAACCCAGGAGAGTTTGGGAAAAATACATCAGAGATCAGATGACGAGATGATTCTGGTTGCTGAAAAAAGGTGATGCAAGAGGCTACGCTAACCTGGTAGCTAACATTATCACGTGTTTAGCAATGCTTTCTGACTAGTCTGTAGTCTGTCACGTTTTTAGGTTACCTTATGGTATCAGCTCAGCTCTCTTGGAACCTTGACGGAGGTGATCCAAAATACTACCCGGTATCACATACCAGGTACCAGATTTGCCTAGTGGAAAACCTAAAAAGGCAAGTCGAGACAGTACTATGCAGTAGAAAAGCAGCTATATGTGACAAGATGTAGATATACTACACAATAGATACGATATTCTAGACTTCCAATTAATACTACAGCAAAATCACTTTTTTAGGTACACTATATGACAAAAAGTCATATAGTGTACATAATTATTTTTAGGAGTTTCTGCCATACCCATCACTAACAGGTGTATGAAATCAAGCACAAAGCCATGCAATCTCCATATGCAAACACTGGCAGAAGAACGGGTTGCCCCGAAGAGCTCAATGACTTTAAACATGTCACTGTCATAGGATGCCACCTTTGCCACTGGTCAGTTTGTGAAATTTCTGCCCTGCTGGATCTGCCCCGAGGAGCAGTAGTTCACAGTTCAAACCTTTGCTGAAAATACAGGCCTACTTTACCTGCAAACTGTTCTCAGGAGGTTGTAAAAGGAAAAAAGCAGCAGCCTATCCTGAATAGCCATAAAGCTCTCTGTGTAACCCATTTCATACTCCTCATTGAATAGTGTGTTTCAATGTAGTTTATTGGAATCATGTTGGTATCAGCAGATATTGTATTCTAAATGTCTACATCTTTAAATGTTTATGTAGCGGCAGATTTTACCTAAAAATATTGTATATCGGCATCAGCCCTCAGTTCCCACATCAGTGCGTCCCTGTTCTTCATAATAAGAGCTGGGCGGTCATAAGCACAAAGAAAACTATGAAACTGGCTGCTTCTCTTGGAGTCGTGCCATCTGCCAAATTGTGTTATCTTTCACAGTAATGTTCGCTCTTTCTCTCCCTCTCTCTCTTTCTCTCTCTTCGCAGGATGATGTGTGAAACTGTGCGCTATGAACGACATGAAGCAAATGAAGTGCTCTACTAGTAAGTGCTCCTGTCTCCAAACATCAGAAACGAACAGTTTTGCCTTCAGGTGATAAATGTATAATGCTAAATTTGATGCTAAGGAATGTGACGTTCCGTTTCAAATGAATGAAATGAAATGGTCGTCACACATCTTTTAATGAGGGAATGAAAGTCTCAGGCAGTTAGAATCACAGTAGTATAGGCTGGAAACGATTCACAATAGTATTGAAATCGATGATACTTTGCACCTATTGCGACGAGCATGTTGGACAATTTAAATGCCATAAAATGCCCCATCCGCAGCTTTAAAATGTGTCTTATACTATGTAGTCCATGTCCTACATTAGTCCTGATACATTGTCTGGCTTCAGGACAGTGTGGCAGCACGAGGCAGTGCATTGTTTACTGTAGTCGGGCTTACTAAACAAATAAAGCCGTGCCTCAGCCTTCATGCGCTGAATGCTTTACCTCGTGAAACATGCATGTTGGATTAACTGACTGATGGTTAACATGGTAAGCTTTAGCCTTTTGAATAAGAAGCATACCAAACAAAGTTAGAACAAAGCTAGTTCAGTAAGTTAGCAAATTTCTTAACTTGAAAAACAGGCATGCTGGTTTTCTTTGGTTTAAGCAGGCTCCTTTGTGGCGATGCTGCATTGCAGTGCTGAAACGGGTTATTGAAGAAAGGTACCATGGGTCTGAGAGGCTTCTCTGTCTGTAGGTTAATAGCAGCCTACAGAGGCACCTTTTTCATATGCATGCTGAATGCATGCTCAGGAGAGAGTCTCACTGGTATTTCAGTACTTGGTTAATAATTCAAGGTCCCAGTATTTGAACATTGAAATCATTATTCACATCTTAGATTCATTTTATTGTGGAAAAATATTAGAAATATAGAGACAAACAGGTCTGAATTTTTTGATTTTATGTAAATATGGTTCACTCATATTTCCAAGTAAGTAAGGCTCAATGCCATTTCTTATTTTTACCCCTACCCCTTGTTTTCGAGGGTCACCTTGCCCCTTGGAACTGAGTTACAATGGGTAGTGGTTGAAATCTTCACTATGAAATGGGACCCTTAAATTAAAAAAGAACATTACTTCATTAACAGCTACTAGCGCTGCTCTGTAGGCGACCCTGCCAGTCTGCAGAGATAGCAGAGGAGGGTAAAGTTTAGCAACCTCGCTGCTGGGCTGTAGTAACATTTAGGGAATCATATGTCTTCAAAGAGGGGGGTGCAAAAATTATTTATTATTGCCCACCCCTAATTCTTCGGTGATATGAAGCTCAAGTCAGCTGTTCGCCAGATTCTCTTTTAAATTGTCCTTCTCCACATTAAATGGTGCAGCAGTTATATCTGGTGTCTCAGGTGTCAGAACTGCGGTACCTTTTAAGGTGGAACAGGAAATTTAGCTAGCTACCGAGACATCAGCATATTGCTAACGATTTTTTTTTAATGCTCTTCATGAAGAAAAGGACCATAATACATTGAAATGACATTAAACTAAGACAATACAGTGGTTATTGTAATTTTTTACCTTAAATTCTCACACTTGTAGGTTTCTTTTGTCACTTGTGCAGCCTCTTGCAGGTTTTTCTATTTTCTCATAACACTCTGTTTGGAGTGTACCTCTAAAAACAATCTCCGCTTGGAGGGCCGTGTAGCCCTAACATTTGCCCTACCCCTCTATCTCAACAAAAATCGGTACACCCTACCCCTAGGCGTGAATGCACAAAACGGAGGGGAAAAGGTTAAGTGGTAGGGGCGAGGGGTCAAATGGGATTGGGCATATAGCATACGTCACATGAGTGCCTTAACATGAGCATGTTAAGAATTTGACTGAGAAGGCAGAGATGCTGATGTTGGCGAGGTCCAGAAACAGTGACAAACTAACATGCTGGTGCATCGTCCAGCTGTAAGAGAGTCCTCGTTAGCCTCCAGTATTGTACCAGTTAGCTCTGATAGCTCATTAGCTCATCTGAAGAGGAGTCTGTGTAACTCATTAATATAATTCATGGTTTGAAATGTAAACAAAGTAATTCAGAGAGGTTTGATGTGAATTGTTTGGTGCACTGTAGAGAAAATTACCATTGCAGATTTTCTTTACAGTGGGGGTGATATGAACCAGGGGTTGCAATGTCTACAACACAAATATAGCCATTTTATTTACTATCCAATCCCACCAGTGAACATACTAGTGAGTTTTTATATGTAATGTTGATGATGGTGAAATAGTGGTAAATATTTTCTAACCATTCATTAACCTTTATGGTTAATCGATTATCAAAATTAGTTGAAATGCACATCAGATGTGTTTTTATTATTAGTTAATTAATTTATTTCTTTACTGGAAAGCAATTCTTGCGTGCCTGCCATGGTGCGCATGTCCCTCCGACAATGATATCATCAGCTGGTGCTGGTTAGAGGGCACAATGAGATGATGGTGTATTGCACATGATCTCACAAGCCTACAGGCTTTTAGTACATACAGTAGACAGTAGAGCAGCAGTTCTTGGATGGGACACATAGTGCCATTGATCTCGGTCTTAAACACAGTGACCCAGTTTTGGCTCACCCCTCTTTTTGGGTGTGTGTTTCTGTAAGCGCCCCCCCTCACATCCTTCTAATGTTTTTGGAAGGCAGTTCTGGCATTGTCTTGCTATTGTTCTGTACCCCTTCTTCCTGCCTTTGGACTCGGATGCAGACGCACGCACACGCGCACCCCACAGTCCCGAGGGCGTTCCCAGCCCCCCACACACAGACACTCCCCTCCAATTTCACACTCCATTTTTCTTTTCTCCTGAAGCATTACAAAGTATTCGAGTTTCTCCCCGGGTCAGTACACCCTGCCCACAAAGGCATGCAGCTCAGTCGCTCATCGTCTCTGATAGCATCTAACATACGTGTCTGTATGCATTCGTGTACTAGTGCTAAGCAATAATGGACACAAAAGTCACACTGCGATAATTTTTTGTCATTAAAGTTCTGATATTTTGAAAAATAAATCTTCCAATGTATTCCAAAAAACAAACAACAAAAAAATATCCTGATATACTGTAATGCTAAAGTTATGCGTTGTGTGTGACGTTGATGAATATTTGAATATTTGGTTAATGAGCACTGAATCTGAAACTGTACTATATATATATATATAGTACAGCGGAAAGGTTGACTTTTTACATATAAATACACCATGTAACATTAGAATGGATGCAAATAAACATAAATAAATAAAACTAATAAGAATTTTTATTTTTAAAAAGTGACCTAGTTTGAAGAACAAAGTACCAGCACACCTGATTTAACTTAGAGGAATAATTTTTCAATAAGAATAAGAATATATTGTTCTACATTGTAATTTAAACATTTGCCATTTGCCCTTTCTTGAAAAACGTGATCTGAAATGCCATGTTTGGAATTGTTCACAGTGCTGGTGATGGTAACCAGACATCTAATGTTTAAGTTTAATGTCTCTTAAAGCTACCCCACAGAAAGATATTACCTAAAAAGGTTACAAAATACATTGCCTGAGATGTTGCTCTTTTCTGTAGTTTTGAAAAGAAAGTTTTCATTTAAAACATGTTTTATTGATTTTTGACAAATTTCAAAGTCCTTGAGATTCTTCAGTTATTTTAGCTGTATGTTTAGAGTCATGTTCCTGAAATGTCCCAAAGTGCTAAAAAATATAGTTACTGCTAAAATGTGTAGTGTCAGATGTTTTTTTTCTTTTTATTTTTTTCTTATACAATGTATTGGAGTAGAAGAGAAAGTGCGTAAAACCTAAGATAAATATAAGGTCTGAATATTTTTCTGCCCCATTACTAATGTAGATCTTTTATGTTCCTGAGCCAAACCAATCTGTGAAGGGTGTAATTAGAGGACCCTAGTTTAAAGACATTTTATCACATTAAATATGAAAATTGAATCAAATCTTGACCTCAAATTGAATTGAAAATCGTATTGACACAGAGCTATAATGACACAGAGCAGTAATGACACTCTGATAATGTTTTTCATTTTTAGTGATATTGATAATGTAATTTGGTGGGTGTTTCAGATTGCTTTGAAAGCACAGTTCACAGTACATAAACACAAGACTTTCTTTCGAGGTAAATCTCTGGAAGAGTGGGTTTTTTAACTTTAATGCAGAATTAATGAATTCCGTAATATTACCCAGTGGACATTGTGTCCATGTGTATATCTGCTTTTCATTCATTCATTCATTTATTTATTTATTTATGTTTGTATGTATGTATGCATGCTAGTGCACAGACTATGAGTGGCTATCAGCCAAAGTCATTGTGCTTTTCCTGCCTTTGGATAAAAGTTGAATAAGCTCCCTAGGTAGTGCGCACTCCCTGCTAAGCACTAGACTGAACACGAGTAACTTAAAAGCAGTGCTGCAGCGGCCTGCTGCTGCTATATACTGATAAACTCCACTGTGCTCTATTAACCAGTACACCGCTTTAAAATTTCTGCTTAATAACAGGCTGCACATTTCTCCTTGCTGCTACAGGTCACTGATTTCTCTCTGGAGCGCCTGCTACAGCAACTGCTACTCCTGGCTAACTCTTTTCACATGTACACGGAGGGCTGATTGACTCTTTATCAAATTGGAATCAAGAACAATACATATATTTATTAAGTACTTGCTCTGCATATCTTAGGAGTTCAGAGATCCAATATATCCAATATATTTAACTGATTAAAATTAGTTTGACCAGTATGTTTTAAATACAAATTACAAATACTAATGTAGACAGAATTATGCAGAGTTATGCTATTTTTGATTCAAATTAGGTTAAGCATTTAGAATCTAGTCGAGATTGAGCACAGTTGCTTGTGCTGCCTCTCTAAATACACAGATGATATAATTGGGAGTATTAAGTATTTAAACCGTATTTAAACCCTTAAAATCATACATCATGGAACTGAATGATCAATAGCAAAATACTTAAATACTGCATGCAGAAGCCACAGTGTTTTAAAGTGATGGAAAGTGTCCTTATTCTGTGTG